CTGGTCGCAGTGCTGCATGCGGTGAATGCCTCAATTACTTAGTGTGTCGACAGTCAATCACACTGCACGCGTGAACTACCTCAACTACTTAGCGCGATGGTAAATCCATGGAAGTCCTAGTCAGTATGCTCTCACTTATCTCAGCGGTACTTCATGAATGAGGCCTTAGTGCTCACTTAGCACACCCCATGTGAGGCCGCACAGTGTCAAAAGCTATGGTTGAAGTTGCCTGTATCGCCCGAATTCCCTCACGTCTGGAGAAAGTACAGTCCTAAGGCTTTTGCTTGACCACCCGCTACCATACTTGGCCATACTGTGGCATGCTTGGCATGCTATGTGTTCGGCCGATCACACTGCACCACACCGCACCATACTTAGTGATTACATCATCTGTGCTTGATGAGACTGCATTGTACTTAGTATGTACTTAGTGATTACATCATCTGTGCTTGACGACACTGCACTGGTACACCGTGCCATACTAGTCGTATACATCATGTTTGCTTGACCACACTACCCTGTACATTAGTATATCATGTTTGCTGTACTTCGTGTATGTTAGTGTATACTCAAATATGCTTATAGACTTATACTAGTCTTATAGTCTATTTTACTGTTTTAGCACATACTTAAAATATACCTATCGTGTTTGCTGTATGTAGTATATTTAGTGTATACTTAAATAGGTTCTTAGTATATACTTAGACCATCACACCGCACCATACTTAGCGTATCAAGTTTGCTTAGACCTCTCAGCTCTTTATTAGTATCTTTGTTTGCCCGCCAATAGATGGACTTTCACCTCAGATAGCACGGAGAGGTACAACCCTCAGGACGGTTCCATACTTGGTACACCATGTTTGCTAGGACTACACTGCGCTGTACTTAGTATACCATGTTTGTTTGCCCACCAATAAATGGAGTCTCCCTCCGGACAGCGCAGAGCTACAACCCTGGGGTTGCCTGGGGGTTCCTGTGCAGAACAACGAATTCAACAACAACGAGAAGCAAGTATGGGCCCAATCCCACTCTTGTCCCAAATGATTTTTTTGGAAAAGTACTACTTTCTTTTGGGACATTTGACAGCTCCTGTTTTCCAAGCCTGGAGGATAACATAGGTGGCAATGGTCGTGAGCAAATGATTATAAAGAACGACGCTGAAAATCCTCTTAGCTGAAGGAGTACCTCCCCCGCTCACAGTCTCGAAGAGTGAATTTCCAGAATCTGTAACCGGAGCCATGCCCACGCAGGCAATGAAGAATCACCAAATTGTTCTTTCTTTATTTCTAATGTGCAGTTCATTTCTCGGCTGTCACGGTGGAATCAGTTGTCTGTGGTCCCATTTCCCTCTTCTGGGAGGTTTGGGAAAATGCTCACCTCTTTTGCTTAAAACTACCAGCGGGGAACCAACGGAAGGCTCGGCCTACCAGACAAAAATGGCTGGCCACCCGCCCACCAGACAAAAATGGCTGGCAACCCCCGATAGGCCTTGTCACGTGACGATTCGGAATGCGAGGGGCGGGCAAAAATGTGCGTCGGAGAAAAGAGGCCCACATGTAATGGCGTTTGAAATCATCAGGAGCAAATGGCTGGCGACCCGCCCACCAGACAAGAATGGCTGGCGACCTGGCCGCCAGACACAAATGGCTGGCAACCCCCGGTGGGCCTTGTCACGTGAGGATTCGGAACGCCAGGGGCGGGCAAAAGAGCATGATGGAGAAAAGAGGCCCAGTGGCATTCGTAACGGTGTTTTAAATCACCTCAGAGTCTGCTCCTGATGCTACTTTAGCGTACCAACACTTCTTTTCCCAGCCATGCCCACCGCATCACAACGATGAGGGCCTACGGGTATAGCAGCAGAGAGCAAGAAATGTGTTGTTTTGCCACCAGATCATTTTTCACTGTGCAGAAAATTCCGTTTCATTTAAAATAATTCTTTTTTGTCAAATAGATCAGCACTCAATCTATGCGTCTGATATTTCCCCCTTTTTTTGGTGAAAGAACATGAGCAAAGAGCACGAAAATGCCCCGAACTCGATGGACCATCGGACCCGATGTTTTGCGTAAAGCCGCCGACCCCCGGTTGCTTCCTGCCCACCCTGCGGTCATTAGATTGCACAAAGTTGTACATTCGTGAGGCATCCGGGAAAGTGGTGGATTAAGAGAGCCTCTCTTTGGCTTGAGGAGTTTAGGATCAGGCCCTATATCACTCTGCCGTGTCTCGTATGCCTGAGGACTTCCCTTCCCCTCCTCTCCCCCCCCCCCCCCCCCCCCCCCCCCCCCCCCCCCCCCCCCCCCCCACACACACACACACACACACACACCACAAAGAAGACTAAGGTCACCAAGACCCGCTTGCCAGCGGAAGAGGACAGAAGAAAATTTGGACCATTTCATAATATATGTGTGTCATACTTGCTCAGGGACCATGCTAATCTTCTGTGTATCGTTCCAGTTTTTTTTATTTAACGGATGTCCCCAAGGATATTTACTTTTGGAGACCGTAGTGGAATACAACACCCGTGGTTTGACCCGGCCCCTTCTTCAATGCAACATGGGTCTAAAGCTTGGTTATGTTCTGCCTCATTTTCAAATTAGAAAAGCATGGGCCTCAAAAATTTTTGGTGACACTGAGCCTCTTGCTTTGTATTTGGCGATTGAAGAGTTGGAGCACTTGCTTCTTTGATCACACACTACAGTTTCTAAACCCCACGTTTTGTCCGCCCCNCCCCCCCCTGCCCCCCTTCTCCCCTTTGGTTGAATGGCATGTGTTTGAATAAAACACAGTCTGTTGTTTTATTGCACTGTGATGAAAACAATCTTCCAAATGAATTAAGCAACCACCAGGCTTACTGCAGTTTGTCTGCTGAACGAGTTCAGTAGCGAATGACCTTCTGTCCTATCATTTGATTACGTAGTGTCTGGTGGTGACTTCTTTGGACAGAACACAGTCACTCAACAAAAACTGAGAAGACTGATGCACGAGTGAAGGCCAGTTTCAGTCGAAAGTGGTGCAAGTCTAAGTATGGCCTCACTGTCTTGACGGCTTTCTCAGAGTCATAATGGGATGATTGGTCATGTGAGCTACTTGCTGTGGCAGCCCCTGGAGGATGGCCTTTGGACTCATATCTAGACATAGGGCCTGGATGACCTTAAACCACCAGTACCTCGCCCAGCTATGCTCTCCGATCCTCGGACGACCGGTATCCCGAGCCCGCCGAGCCTGGAGGTACCAGTAGCACGACGGTCTGAAGCCTGGAGGGACCTCTAGCAAAAAAAAAAAAAAAAGTTAAAAAAATGGAACACCTCTACGGACGTGAATGCAGTTCAATACATTATTTGAAGTGCTTGTGTGAGCATGCTCTCAGTGAGGGCTTCTCAGCCCCGTGACATCTTTGTCAGAATCTAGAAAAAGAAACGTCACCTTCTGTGAGAATCTAGATTCTTAGAAAAAGACACAAAAAATTGAACTACCGCTTTGGCCGTGAACCTGGTCGTATACATTCTTTCCTGTGCCAGTACGAGTGTGCCCTCAAGGAGGGCGTTTGAGCACATCACGGATACGCTCTGCCTTGATGGCAGGGTCCTATAGAAACGGGAAAGGACCAAAAAAAAGAAAAAAAAGGAAACAACATTGAGCAATCTCACCTCAATTGTGGTGAGATTCATTCTTCAAAGAGCATAAGGAACCACAGCCTCTGCAACTACCTTCCCCGACATAAGGTATAAAGTAGAGTTTTCTTTTTGTCCCCCCCCCCCTCTCTGCGACAAAATTTGCTGCGACCGGTCACCAGTGCCCCTACCTCCATTCGAAACGGCACGTTAACGGCCACGTTGGAAAAAAATTAGCTGGGCGAGGTACTGGTGGTTTAAGAGAGGTCGAATAGGCTTGAAGAGCCGAACCGGTCGTAGATGGATTTAATCTTCAGGGTGGAAAAGAGGCTGGGAGTTGAGGGTGTGCCCAGACTCGCCTCCAGTATTGTGTACATAGACCCAGAGCCAAGGACCGGCCCCTTCTGGTGTCAGTTTACCAGGTTCATGGAAACAAACCATGAACCTGGCCGTTTTTTAGACTAGCATCATGCTGTCTAAGCACAAGCATAGCATATCGCTGCAGGGGAGTCCTAATTCCTTCTGTTGCTGGGCACTATGTTGCTCACCAAGGGGTACAGGTATTGCAGCAGCAGTGAGTGCCGATGTATGTGAGTAAAGGTATGAACGGTTTAGCATGGGATAGTGAGGGGGCTGTCGCGTACTGCATAGCTGGAGCCTGAGGTAGAGAGACTGGGGTGGCAGTTGGTGGTGGAGGAGTGAGCAGCCACGGATTGGGGGGGGGGGCTTGAGGGTGAGGTAGATGCAACAAGCAGGAAGGTTGCAGAGAGAGGGGCAAGGGGGAAAGGTCGCATGAAGACCAGGAGAAGATGAAAAACAGGGAAGTGGGAAGACAATTGAAACCCATGATTCGCATCCAAGCCCTTGCCGACAGTCTAGCCTGGCTCATCACAGAGTTTTGACAACGACCTACCCGCGGCCCAAAAATGGCATGAATCTCAGTTGCCTGTTTGCTCTTCAGGGTCGGAGGTGGGGTGGTTGTGGTGTACTTAGAGGTCTTTCGGAGTTTCCAAAGGGATGGCAGGTGGAGTATTTCTCACAATAGAAACTTTTAGGCAGTCCTTATATTTCTTGCTGGTTTTGCAACCATGGCCAACGTTTACCTTGACCCCTTCTTTGTGATGAAGCTGATATGTCGATAATAACTCTGCATGGTTAGTTTTAGTGCTGTGATGGTGGTGGTGCTGCTGAGCAGAGGAAACTTTTGTGGTAAATTCTTGTAGTTATCCTTGAGGAGGTGTCATGTAGAGTGGGTTGGCTTTGGGGTTTTCATGTGTGTTATTCGTTTGATGCATTTGCAACAGCAGCCTACTTTTATATTACCCTGTTTGTAATGACACTTATTTACCTGTATGCGTACTTCACTATGGTGCGGGTGCTGAGCGCAGGAAGCTTTTGCAATTGTCCGCGAAGCGTCATGGAGGGTACTTGGCCTTCGGCCATTCGATGTTCAGCTTATTGGTGAGTGCGTCACTGCAAGGAAAAGAACTTCTCCCATCTGTAACTGTTGGCTTTTTGGAAATAAAACAAAAAACTTGAATTGCTTTTGTTTTTTCATTGAAACATTGTAAATAATAAAGGTTCCTTTCCCTGTCCCCTCCCTCTCCCCCCCCCCCCCYCCAAGGTAGTTGCAGATATGGATGACAGAACACCCTGCTCACCAGCACACTTCGGGGGGATGCTGAGGTTGTGATTCCACCTCACCTTTAGCTGAAGGGAGTCCAAGCCATGAGTGATACTTTTGTCATCCTGTTGCTAATTTACTGATGGCACTGTGGTTGAGCTTGACAATCTCTCTCTCTCTCTCTCTCTCTCTCTCTCTCTCTCTCTCTCTCTCTCTCTCTCTCTCTCTCTCTCTCTCTCTCGTCAAGGATTACCCACTGACAACCTCGCAAACATTTTCACTGTGATATGAACTAAACGTTGAACACCACAGAAGTGCATGGTCTCCCATGCCTGTGTGGTAGACCAGGGAGTGCCCTCACACCCATCCACTCAATGTGCACATACAAGTAGCGTATTATCAAGCACCCTGGCATTGAGCGGTAGTCTGTCTGGAAGTGATGGCATGGCTCCCACAGGGCTTCAAATAATTACAAATCCGTAATGAGCCATTTATGGAATGTGTGATGCACTTTGCAAGGAAGACTTTTTGCCACGCTCAGCCCTTCCGCTGTTGTGTCGATTGGCTGTGTGGGCAAAGGCATTGCTGTTGGTTGTTATTTGTCAACCAGCCGATTTCTCTCTGTGTTGAGACTTCCTGTTCTAAAACCTGTTTGGAATTCTTCCGTGTCCGGTGCTATGATCTTTGCAGGTGGGATGGTGTTGCATGACGGTCAAATTGCAGAAATGAGAACAGGAGAAGGCAAGACACTGGTTGCCATTCTGCCAGCGTATCTTAATGCCCTTTCTGGGAAGGGTGTCCATGTTGTCACAGTGAATGATTATCTGGCACGGCGCGATGCAGAGTGGGTTGGCCAAGTGCCACGTTTCCTTGGTCTCAAGGTGGGACTCATTCAAGGTACGTAAGGAGGAAGCCTGAGTTCATTCTTGCTTCAGCTGTTTGGAATGTTTCCTCTTTACCGTGAGCTGTCTGACCTGCTAGGTGCATGATTCGGTGAATTTCCTCTGGCAAGTGACGCGCTGAGTTCCGTAGGGATTATGTATTCTGACCATTGGCGAATCCCAAACGATTCTGGCCATTGACATTGAGTTGTCTTCTCGTTGTATGGGCAAGAATGTGGCATTGGCTGCGTGTCTATCCCCTACTTGAACCAACGAAGGGTCCGATGTCAACCAAAGCCTGGAGCGATGTACACACTGGCCTACGCGTTGCAGGGGGCTGGCGGATGGGTGCAAAAACGTGCGTGCACCCACTTTGGCAAAGTTTTGGGGCTCATCCCTTTTGGCAAAAAGTCCTGACAAAATGAATCAGGAACATAGGTGGATTGCAGATCTGTTTGTGGAAAATATAAGAAAAGTTGAAGAAAAGAATTTGGACGACCCGAAAATAGGTACATCTTTCGCTGAAATCTGGGTGGTATCCTAGCCGGAAAACATGCATATCTTTGCCCCATGCTGTGACCAGCTAGGCCCGAAATTTTTGCTCCGGTGCTCCAGGTTCGGGAAAACCAGTAGGCTTGACCAAATAGGGTTGGTTGCCAGTGGTGTTTTGTGGAAAGTACCTGCATGTTGGCAGTATGCGCTCGTGACAGGTGGATGCCAAATGCATGTGCCTAGGCACCGGCGGGCACCTGCGGGCACCTGCTGGGCGACTCCTAGGTACCTATTGGTACCTAGAGGCACAGCGTGTCTGCAGGTGCTTGTAGGTGTCCAGGCACCTATAGACACCTGAGGTGGTGTGGTGCTTAGACATCTAGGTACACCTGTTGTTGTTGTGTGCCTAGCCAGCTATAGGCACATGCACATGTGCATCTCGTGTCCCAGTGTGGCTACCGGTAGACACCGATAGGCGTGTGCACACCTGGGGTTGGGCCAAGGCACCTATAGGCTTCTGCTATGGTGCTTTACCTGGGTAGCCACCTACAGGCACACCTGCACGCAGTTTTGCAGTATGCCTAGGGACCTATGGGCACCTGCTGTGGTGCTGGGCTCAGAGACCTGTTGCAGTGACGTGCCTAGGTAACTGGTTGTGCTTGTGCGCCTGTTGTGGTTGTGCCAAGGCATCTGATGTCCCTGGGGATGAACCTGGAACCAAAGAGCGGGTCACGGTCTGTTCTATCTCTATGTTGGAGGTGCCTTGAAGCTCAGTTTGGTGCAGGGCTCGTAGTGGCAGAGATTGGATGCAGAGTGTACAACCAGTCTTCTGGAGAAAGACATGAACGCTCACACTCCATCCCTGACTCATGCTGACCAGTCGTCTTTCCCACTTTCCTCTGTGTTTCTCCTTTTTCTCTGTTTCTATGTATGCCTTATCTCGGAAAGGAGAGGCGTTTTCAGTTATGTGAACATCAAGCATCTGCTTTGATCTATCGTCATTGTTGTTCTCTAGTTGCGTTTTATGAAACGATCATTGTGATGTATAAGTTGGTATAAACTACCAGGAAAAAAAAAAGAAAAAAACAGTAAATGCTAACATGACTGCATTTCCGTTTGTGAAAAGGAGCTATGCAGATGCAGTGAGGATGAATTTCCATTCGGTTTGTTCAGTGGAGCTTTTGCCAGATGGGGTTTTGGATGACTTTCTAGCTGCTCTGCTACAACTTGGTGTCACTCTCTCCTCTTTCCTCACTGATGAGACTCGATTATTCTTTTGTGATGTGATATGGCCATGTCTCAGCGGGAATGAAGAGCAATGAGAGACAAGAGAGTTATGCATGTGACATCACCTATGTCACAAACAGTGAGCTAGGTTTTGACTTTTTGCGCGATAATCTTGCTGGGGTGAGTAGAATGGTGTTCTCCCTCTCCCTCTCTCGCTCCCCTTGAACCCATAGCTACATGTTTATCAACCATCCTATATGCGTTTCAGTTGGCTACAAGAGAGGTGCAATGTTTTTCTCTATGATGTGCAGTCCCTCATGGAATTCTCCTCTAGCTGTTTGGCTATAGTACCTTATCTTGCTCACAATTTGTCCAATCAGTCATCAGATTGACTTTCGCGTCTCAACTGTTGACATATTCCCTATTCAAACCTTTTCTGTTTTTTAGGTGCCTGCTTGCTTCAGCCTCCATGTGAGACTGGAGAAGCTAGCAACAAGATAAAAAGCACAGTGGAATTTTGGTATTCACCCTCCTACTGATGACGGGCAATCATTCCTCTGGAAAATAAATCTCCCTCTCCCCTCCAGTGACCTTCTTTGCACAGAGTACCTCAGGCACACCCAGGTAATCAATGCTTGTTATAATGCTTTTAAGTACCATTAGTTATAGAAAATTATGTATCATTGCTATGGTATACAACTAGAACCGTTGATCGGCAGTTTAACAACTCAAATCAAGTTCAACTCCATAGGACTAGGGGCTCCGTACTTCGTTTTTTTTTTTGTTTTTGTTTTTTTTTAATAAGAAAAAATGCAGGCTTGTCTTCTCCTCATATGGGTGAAACCCTCATTTTTTAACTATGCTATCATCTTCTCTTAGTATCGTACCGCGCACTACCTACCCCGGACAAGCAAGGGTTCATGGCCCATCCAGACACCAAGGGGATCTAGGGTCGAAGACTACAGTCTAAGGCTAGAACCTATCTGTGTGGTCCTAACGGTTAGGGGTTGGCACTGACCTCCTCCCCTGTCTAAGCACCGCAGAAGCGAAAACAGACCATTTCTACCCAATTCGTTTTCTTCTGGCATAGAGGTAAGGCAGCATTAACACAGGGTCTATGTGTGTGCATTCTCATGGCCGTGTCCTCTTTTGTGACATCAGGTCATTATGGTGTTGTAACAGTACCATCATGCTGATGCTGTCAAATCACATCACATCAGGATAATTGGTCCAATGCTATCATGCTGAAGTCACAGCTCCATTTTCTCAATTTATGGATGGGCTAATTTTCCATGCACCTGTGCCTGGATGTGTGCCTGACTTCCTGGCCAAGCAGGGCCCCCGGGCTGTGGCAAATTAAAACCAAAAAAACAAAAAAATTGAAAAAATCAAAAATTTCTTGGCAAAAGAAAATGTTGTGTGGAATTGCAATGCAAGCAACTTTTGGCTGAGAGTCACCTCAGAATTCCTTCATGTATCGAGTATTAAAAAAAAAGTAAAAAAAATTAAGCATCCCCATTAAACGGTTTTTAAAAGCCCTTTTATGCCCTATCAATACCCCCTTCCCCCCTCTCCTGGTTGTTTGTTCTTCTCTCTGCAATGTACAATCCCAGACCTCCTTCCTCCCCCCTTCGTCTCCGTCTCCGCTTTGATCTCTTGCCATCGCACTTCCTTCTCTCTCGCTCTCTCTCTCTCTCTCTCTCTCTCTCTCTCTCTCTCTCTCTCTCTCTCTCTCTCTCTCTCTCTCTCTNTCTCTCTCTCTCTCTCTCTCTCTCTCTCTCTCTCTCTCTCTCTCTCTCTCTCTCTCTCTCTTTCTCTCTCTCTCTCTCTCTCTCTCTCTGTCTCTGTGTGTGTGGGTCTCTCTCTGTGACTCTTTTCTCAGCTCCACCATGACATTGGCATGCCCCCTTCTGCCACGTACACAACTCCCTCTGGGCCTGCGGTGACCATGTGCATGGTCTGATCCTTCACCTGCCTCTCTCTCTCTTCCTCTCTCTCTTCCTCTCTCTCTTTCTCTCTCTCTCTCTCTCTTCCCCTTTTTTCTGAGTGTTTCACCCCCTGACTGCCGTGTCTCTCGCTCTCTCTCTCTCCCTCCCTCTCTTACTTTTTTACCTCTCTACCCTTCTGGTGCAGTGATGGGTGACCTTGACATATGGACCAGGAAATAGAGGGAAGAAAAGTAGGCCAGGCCAGCGGCCTAGCTCAGTTGGTTGAGGAGGTCGTGGGTTCAATCCCCCACGTCCAGCTGCAGTGGGCTTGGTGTTTACGAGCTATTATAGTTGGCTTGCCTTCCCTGCCGGTCTTGGCAGGAGCCTAGGTTCCCTTCACCCTTTCCCCTGCCATCCCTTGCAGGGGGTTTGGAGCCTAGGTACTACTCCCTGCACAGAATAGAGTAGATAGACATAGCCTGCCTCTCCTTCGGTGCGTGGACATGGTGTTCTTGTCCTAGGTAAATAGCACGAGGTATGTAGGTAGCTAGTGTGAGGTGGGAAAAAAATGAGAGAAGATAGCTTAGGTTATACATTTTCCTTAAAAAAAAAGACGGAACAGAAGTACTTGGAAATGAAATTTGTTGGTCATTAACAATGATTACTCAATCGAACACTGGGACAAAAAACGTTCGAGGGGCAGGAGACACCTCTGTTTTTCTCTTCTGTATTTGTTCCTAGCGCCCCCCCCCCCCTCCCCCCTTTCCTCCCGTTCTTTTTTGGTTTTGGTTTTAGTATTCTGTTTGGCTCGCTTTCACAACATTGAACTTCCCTCTATCGTAATTTCTCGCAGATTCTCGTTTGCATCTTTTACACAGATTGAAATGTTACAAGACGTTTTATGCAAAGCAATACAGTTATGTCATTCACTTTGATTCAAGGTGTTTATTGCATTCCCCAGATGTACTCGATATGAAACACTGGTTCCATCGTCATTTGGTTGATTCAGAAGACAAACGTGTCACAAAAATTGGGGGTCATTGCTGTTGTCTCTCTGGCCCATTGTCACTGTGCTTGCTGTGAATTGTGGGATTGGGATATGGAATCGGTGTTGCTGGGGCTTCGTTTCTTTCTGTTCTTCGCAACTGTTGGGTGGAGAGGTTGAGGTTCTGTCTCTGTCTACTTTTTCTTGTGTCTGTGTTTTTTATTTCCCTTTGTATGGGGCATGAAAGGGAAATAGAGGCAGGGTTGCTGGGGCTCCGGAATGTGTGCTGTTATTTGTAGTGCAAATTAAATGGAGTTGGGGAATGTGCTGTCTGGCGGAAGGCGAAGGGAAGGGTTTCTTTTTTGGGGAGTGGGGGGAGGGTGGGCGTGCACATGAGTGGGTAGGGGGATATGCATGGGGAGGGGTGGGCTGTGATTGAGGGGGTGATGACCATTAGTCAGCGGAGGAGCTCGTGCTGCGGGACCCTAATTATTGTATAATTGATGAGGTGGACTCCATTCTAATTGATGAAGCTCGGACTCCGCTTATCATCTCGGGACAAGCTGAAAAACCCAGTGAGAGGTATTATAAAACAGCCAAGCTGGCAGATGCATTTGTCAGAGATGTACATTACACAGTAAGTACTCTTGGACCTCCCTTCGGCTCTTAGACATCACTTGCACTTCAAGCCTATGAATGCTGTTAAGTACACTTGACGCCTCCCTGGGTGGGCCTCTTTGAATGTTTGTCTGTTGTCCGTTTTTTCTGCCGAACTTGAAATGATAATTTCAACTTCCAACTTTCAAGTGATTAGTCTTTCGGGAGTGGCAAGTAGCCACGAAGGAGTTGTGTAATGAGGTGTGTAAAGCCATGTTTTACTGTTTGCAAACGGTCAAATATTTTCAAGGTGTTCTGTTCGTCTTTGAGTTTAAAAGCAATCAACGATAAAGTGTTTCCACAAGTTCTTGTGAAGTTTAAAAGCAAATTATTTCCACAAGTTCTTTGAGTTTAACAGCAATCAACGATAGTGTCTGCACACGTACTCTGGCATTTGACTTTTGAGAGTGAGGAATCAGGAATAACAAAGAGAGGATCGGCATGAAGATGGAGATGGAGATGGAGAGACAACTATGAAGTGACTACTGGACAAGGCGGGGGCGGGGACGAAGGATGAATAAGCAATGTGTGAAGGCAGAAGAGTAAAGACGACAGAATAGAGGTGCTGAGCAAGGGGAAGATAAGAAAAAGAAAACATGATTATGGGGTGGTAGGAGGAGAGGGGAATCAATGGTCATACCTTCCAAAAACGAAGGCCATAAGAAAAAAGTTTGCGTCTTGTGGGGGTTCACAGTTGTCTGCCCTGGTCCCATCCCCAGTCCCAGACCTGGCCCCATGTACCATATACCCATGTACCAGGTTAGACCGTTGTCAATAGGACAATAGACCGTCGTAGGTGGATTCTGGTAGGTAGCCGTAGGCATAGGAAAGGCTCGGTAGAAGCCGGTAAGCCCTTTTGTGTCAGTCAGTCCAGTCAGCAGCAAAGTCCCAGGAAATTCTGTGAACTTCCAGAAGCCACAAACATCGGCATAGGAGGGGAAGTCCAGAGGCGAAATTTCAGTACAAAAGTCCAGTTGTTGAAGTCATGAACAGACATTCATTTGTGTAACCAGGCAAGTGCTGCTGCACTATTTTGGGATGCATTGGATATGCTGCTGCAGGAAGTAGTCGATGATGCTGGGTGCCCATAGCGATAGCCAGGTCAAGTAGAGAGGGAGAGAGACAGTTCGCGAGGTGTTTAGAGAGAACGTGACTATTTGTGCCAAATCAAGAGTCTAATGAACAAGTCGAAAAAAAAAAAGCTTCTACCAAGGGTACTTTTCGGAGAACTCATTTTTCAAAGCAATGTTCTCCGTAAAACTGGTACCAGACTACACCCCAGAGGTCCAGGTTTTCAATCCGGGCTTTGTAGAGAACACGTGCTAGGAAAAGAAAAAAAGAAAAAAAAGAAACTGTTGTCAACAGTTGTCTGCAACTAAGAGGAATGAAGACAATCCTAAACTGAATGTAACTCCAGTGTATCCTTTAATTGGATCAACTGTTTTGTACATGCGGGTCAGTGAGCGGGCTTTGTCAGCGGCATGAGCTAGGAAACACAACCTTTTATCTACTCCATCAGAAACGAGCTCTAATGACCCAACCAGTAGTTACAAGTAAGCCCATCTTTTTTGTCAAACAATCTGCCATCATGTAAGGTTGTGTTTATGCTCAGCGTTTCTCAGTTGGAAGCATCTCTTGGCTGATTGCAATCAGGATGACGTTTTTCTGAGGGCGCTGATTCATTTCTTCTTCATGAAATTTCAAAATTCAGAAAAGGATAATGTGGCATTGTTTCGGTGATCTCCTTGCAGGTTGATGAAAAACAGAAGAGCATTTTGCTCACGGAGGAGGGTTATGAGGGCGCAGAGGATTTGCTTAATGTGAGTCTCTCTCTCTCTCTCTCTCTCTCTCTCTCTCTCTCTCTCTCTCTCTCTCTCTCTCNCTCTCTCTCTCTCTCTCTCTCTCTCTCTCTCTCTCTCTCTCTCTCTCTCTCTCTCTCTCTCTCTCTCTCTCTCTCTCTCTCTCTCTCCTTCCTCCTCTCTCTGCCCCCATCATTCCTTGCATTCTCACCCGCCTTCTTGACGCTCTTGTTATCTCCTACACACCCTTACACTCTCTTACACTCTCTTACACTCTCTTAGACTGTTGCGTTCTCTTGTGCTTTCGTGCACTCTCTTACACTCTCTTTCACTCTCTCACACTCTTGCTTACCCTCTCTCTCCCATACACTGTGTCTCTCTTGCACTCTCTTACACTTACACTCTCTCGCATACACACTAGCGCTTGCTTACACTCTCTCTTCCATACAGTGTCTCTCTTGCACTCTCTTACACTCTTGTTACACTCTCACATACACAGTGTGTGTCTCTCTCTTATACTCACACTCTCTCTCACGTACACAAACTGTCTTTCTTTTGCTCAGTTTCATGCATCTGCATGGGAAAGAGGTTATTGTGATGATTGTTAAAAGAGACAATCCAAGTGAAGGGTGCCCTGTACTCCGGTTATTGTGATGATTGTAAAAAGAGACAATCCAAGTGAAGGGGTGCCCTGTACTCCAAGGTGCTAAAGTGCTAGCATTCCTTTTGAGGAGCTTCTGGAACTGCTGATACTTCCGTTCGGAGGCTTGGTTCCAGTAAGTATCTTGATGTGGTTTGTATCCAATGTGGCTCAACCCTCGTTGATTCCACGTATCAATGCTTGAACTTTGTTACCGAGGTTCGAACTTTGGACAGATGGTGGGACTCGTTTTCTTTTAGACCAGGGAGAACGCATATTTCCTGTGGCTGCTTGTGCTGATCATCTAACTCTTTGTGAGACATTGTAAGTGGTTACCTCTGCTCAAGGGCCTGCTTCTGGGAGATGTGGCTCATGCCTAGGGGGATCCTCTTGTTTCGTGAACGAAACTTGGATGACAAGTTAGACAGATTCTGGAGCATCCCCATTGTTTGATGACGCTTTGAATGTTGTGACTGGATGCTCCGATAGGTGCTCAGTTGACTGGCATTGCTGTTGACAGTTACAATTGCAGCGATTGCTGCTCCAGCAATGGCAAAACTGTCCGCTGACATTTTCTCGGCCAATATTCGTGAATGACGATAATGGCTGCAGTGTGTTGAATGGCCTGAGAACATGCCACATTTACTCAGCCTTATCCGCTCTACCACGCTCACCCCATGAACATGCCGTACTGTTTTTTCTGCCAGCGTGGGATGTGCGGTGCACCTGAGATTCTAGCCTCCCGCAATTGCCTGCAGAGTTGATGTAATACTGGGCGCGAGTGTGAAAAAAAAAAAGCGCGCAAGTGTGTGTGTGTGTGTGCATGTGGTGTTGGGGGGGAAATGTGTGCGTGTGTGTGTGCTGCGCGTGTGAGGGTGGGGGGGTGGCGACCCCTACCCCACCAATCAATCAATCAAGATTTTAAAAATTATATATATATTTTTTAAATTGTTTTTTGAGTGTCCCCCCC